TAGCGTATTAAAGCAAATTGGTGACAGCGGTTTTATAATCGTTCTAACGAATTCTCTTGTGATTTCTTCAGTCCGCTCAACCAGAATTAACAATAATTTTCCGTCATTAATAAAATACATATTTGATAAGCAATCCTTTCGAGACGTAACACATGTATGTGTTACGTCTCGAAAGGATTGCTTATCAATCTTTATTTTATTAATGACTGAAAATTATTGTCAATTCTGGTTGAGCGGACTGAAGTAATTACAAGAGAATTGATTGAACGATTGATGGCTTGACCAACGCTCACGTTTCTATATTGCAGTTCGTGTCGTTACGAAACGCACCACAATCACAAAGGACAGGTAGCAATAGAGTCACGAAATGCCTTACTCTTACGGAAACTCGACAGGAACCGCACCCGCATACACGTAGCACCGTGCACCTGTATAGAGTAATCCGTTGGCAGACAATCCTGACGTTAAGCAAGCTGTCTCGAAAGGTATAAACGCTCGCTTATACCACGTAGACATAGAGGAAAATATTGAAATCAGGGTGAAGTGTCACTGTCACGGATCACTGCCTTTGCACAATGCTTCCGCGTACAGGAAGTCACACGTAGATGCTCGACGTCACTTCACTAGTTTACAGATTATAAAGATTTGAAATCACACAGGTATAAAGTATGGTTTGAAGTTGAAATAAAAGGAAGGGTGCCTTTTTAAAGTTTATTACAGACAAAAGAAAATATAACAATGACAGATACAAGCGTTAATTATAATTGAAATTCACGCTGTTGATTAACAATTAGAGTGATTGATCAATTGACAGGAGTACATAGAATTCATTAAAATAGTCAAGGGTTATAGCAAGAATAATAAGATATAGAGATTAAATATAAAGTGATTAAATAATGAGGCAGGGAGGATCGAAAGTAAACGCGTGCATAAACAACTTACAAGTCACAAAGTCGCAGAAATAATTCGCCTAAGTCCACCTGATGCCTCAGCCCAGTGGATGATTCGGAAGTTCGCTCGCAGCTCGCTCGCAGACAGAACACGGTATAATTACTCGCGTTACTACGATAAGTAATTACAAGAGTAGGTAACAGACTGTACTATGCAGTATAAAAATCGAGACGCGCACTATATCTTCCAATTGCTCAACTAACTCGGAAGCTAAGGCTTCACGGAAAGTAGAACAATAGCTCTTTGGTCCTCCTCAGCACTTTGATCCTCCTCAGCACTTCCGCTGAAGCGCCCGGTGGCTCCTTTTATACTCTGATTTCCTACCCCGATCGTTTGATAGGTGGGAAGGTTCGCGGAAGGCGCAACTGCCCACGGTACGCTAAGAAGGGGGTATCGAGTCATGATGCATAATCGCAATTTACATTGTTCAAAAAAATGATATTATAATTAATAATTTTGATTTCTATGTTTTACAGAACGTTATGGATAATTCTCCTCTATTGTTTAGTGAAAGAATCATTGTTGTATCTTTCTCCGTTGTGCGTTTATTGTTAATTATTTATTGAAAATAAAGATACAGGCTTGAAAATTATACCTAACGTTGCACAATAATTTATAATAAAAGAATTGACATACGCGAGTTTCTGCAAATTAATAGTTGTTTATTTATTTAATACTTTATAAATTTTAATCAAGGCTTGCATCATGGCGCGCTTGTGTGACGCATCATTGCATTATCGATCATAATGTAGAATTTAAATAGTTTGCAATATCTGCACAAATATAAAAGTTAGAATTTTGGGATTTTCACAGAGCACTAGAGCTAGTTTTTCTG